ACCCTCGACCGGCACCCTCTGCGCACCTTCGGCCGCCTCCTCCTCCTCCTCCTCCTCCTCCTCCTCCTTCTCCTCCTCCTCCTCCTCCTCCTCCTCTATCATCTCACGCGTCCCCTCCCTCACATCCCGTCCTCCTCCCGTCCTCCTCCTCGGCGGCCGCGACAGCGCGGCACCTGCCGCGCGGAAGGCGCGGGAAGTGCAGGTCGAGGGACGTTGCGGCCGTTGGTTGAGACATTCCCCATGCCTCGTGGCGCCAGGCCCCTATCAGCCACAGAGGCGCGTGACCGAACAAAGATGCGCGACCGAAACCGCGCCCGAAACTGTGACCGAAAGCGCAGTGTGAGCGAAACGTTGGCCGAGACTGAAAACATCGCACTGGCTTCGAACCGAACTTTTCGGCCACACTCGGGCGTCGCAAGGAAATTCCGGGCGCCGGTCTCGGTCGCACTCGGACGGATTTTCGGTACAGTTTCGGCCACTACACCCCCGTGATACAGACGAGGCTGGGTGACATGTCTTCGCTGTTACTCTGGCTACACATTGCTCATTTCTCATTGTTCGAAAGTTCTTTGACTTTTGGGGGGCCAAGATCCTTTCATTCCGAATTGTTCTATCCTCGGCCTCTTCCTGGCCACTAGGGGGGCCAGGAACAACCAGAAACGAGCACAATTAGAAGTGAGCACGATGAGAAATGAACGACGTGTAGTGTTTCCAGAGTCCCGTTTAGCACCGTCCTGGCTCGGGGGGGCCCGGGAACGCACGCCGCGCCGGGCGCGCCGCCGCGCCCGATGATCCAGGACGGGGCGCAGTCCCGAACCTCGGGGAGGGAGGGGCGTCGGCATGAGCATCCCTAGTGGCAAAATACTGAGGAGGAGGAGGAGGAGGAGGAGGAGCAGGAGGAGGAGGAGCAGGAGGAGGAGGAGGAGGAGGAGGAGGAGAAGGAGGAGGAGGAGGCGGAGGAGGAGGAAGGAAGGAAGGAGGGTCATTAGCATCCCCGCCTCTGGCACCCCCGCCCCTCATCGCAGCCCTCGAGGGAGGAGAAGAAGGGCCCCTGGCGCGCTCCGCGCGCCAGGGAGGGGGGTCCAGCGCCGATCCTGGACCTCCGCGCGGACCTCTCTGCGAGTCGTCTGTGTTTCTACCAAGTCCCTCCCCCGCCCGCCCATCAATTCGCCTCCCGTCGCCCCTCCTTATCCCCCCCCCTCCCCTTCGCGTCCTATCCCCGTCATCCCCACCTCTCTCCTCCTCCCCCATTCCTCTCCCATTTCTTCTGATGCCCCTCCCCCGCCCGCCCATCCATTCCCCTCCTGCCCCCTCCCCCATCATCCCCCTCCCCCTCACCTTCGCTCCCCTTTCCCCTACCATCATCCCCATCCTCCCCCCTCCCCTCCCTGCGCCTCCCCTCCAGGAGTGGAGGGGAAGGGAGAGGACTGAATATCCTCCTCCTTTCTCCCTCCTCCTCCTCCTCCTTCTCCTCCTCCTCTTTATCCTCCTTCTCCTCTTTCCTGATGTGTTTTAGTTTTCTACCGCTATGCCACTTCGTCGTCCGCGTCTTCATGATCCTCGTTCCCTTCGGTCTTCGTTCCGAAAGCAACCAATAACGGCACTGATCGAAGCGATCGCCGCGTCTGAACGCTGGAATTGGTAGAACATACCGACGAGCACACGTGTGGACACAGTAGAACTTACAAACAGCGCGCGCATCGCAGAAGTGAATCGAAGAGCAAAGGAAGACTGATAATGCAAAGGCATTGTGGTTGGCACAACGTCGTTGTTTCTCCGCACCCCACCACCACCTCACTTCAAGCCAGTCCCCCTCACCTCTTCCTGTGCTCCGCCGCTCTTGGCGTAGATGTCCATGATCGTCAGATGTTCTGATGGTGGAAAGCTCAAAGTAAGGATATCCTTGGCCGTACCATGGACCTGAAAGCGGTAGCTAAAGGTGCAGCGAAAGACCTTCTGATGAGTTTGGACGGTTCTTGCTCCTCTCATACTCCTTCTCTTGCTGCTGTCGCTGCTCTTTGTCGTCCTCGTTTTCTTGCTCCTCCCTCCTCCTCATCCTCCTCCTCATCCCTTAAAAAGACAGCTCATATTTGCGGTATGCGTGTTGTGTGGGACTCGAAGCGCGGCTACCGTCCTTTTCCTGCGAAGGGTCGCGCTTGGGCCCGCGGAAGTGGGGCAATTGGCACGGGCGCCGTGTGCTGTCACGGGGGAACGTCCTTCTCTGTTCTCTCCCCTCTCCTCGCCCTCCTCGGGAGCGCCTGCTTTCAGGAACCCGTCGGGCGCACTGCACGGACGCGATTCTGAGCCACCTCGCGGCCAAAGCGGAAGCCCACTGCTGGCCGGAGGAACGCTTCGGAGCGAATGCGGATGGCATCGGCGCGCACTTCTTCCTGGACCAGTGCAGCGGCCAGTTGCCAACATAGGGCCGAGCTGGCGGCCAATCCGGCTCGGCCACTCCGAAGTCGACGCCACATGGCCATGGCCAGTCAAGTGCGGATTGCATCGGCTCGCTCAGTCTGTGCCTTGCCTGGGGAAACCAGAAGGCACCGATACCGCTACTCACAGGACCTCTCCCGGGATGCGTTCTGACCAGAATTTCGAGCCGAGTCCAGCGGTGGCAACGAGGGCCTTCTAGGAGGCCCAAACGGGGGGAAACGAGGGAAGGGTAGCGGTATGGGTACGCTTTCCTGCTCCGACTGCTCTCCTCCTCGCCTCGTCTGGCTTTGCCGCTGGCTCTTGGGCCGTCATGGGGCCCCCTTGGGCCGTCTGGGGGCCCTCTTGGACCGTTTTCGGCCCCACTGGGGGGCCTCTGGGGCCGTCGTGACGATCTTCGGGGCCTCTTGGGCCGTCATTGGCCCGTGCGTGGGCCCCTCCGAGCTGCCTTCGTTCCTGGCGCGCCCGCGCGGGGCGCGGGGGGCCCGCGTGCGGGCAGGCAGCCCCCGGAACGCTCCGAGCCGAAGGAGACGAAACGGCATAGACAGAAACTTTTGGCGCTCCGCGCGGACTTCTTGGAACCGCGCTGGGCCCCCCCGGGCGGCGCCTCTGGCGCGCCAGCGAGGGGGGTCCAGCGCAGATCCAAGACATCCGCGCGGAGCGCCAAAAGTTTATGTCTATGCCGTTGTTTCTCCTTCTGCTCAGAGCGTTCCGGAACGCTCTGAGAAGGCCGCGGCGCCCGAGACATCCTCCAGAGCTGGAGATGCTCGATCCACCCTCACCCGATGTGATCCTCGACCTGGCTTTGTCCTAGAGAGGGGGCGACCGGGAACGGTGGGGGCACGACAGCTGCTGCAAGCAGCTGGTCTCGGCCGCGCCACCAGGCACGTTGCGCCTCTGGCGCCAGTGAGCCGCGTCGCTGAACCCCCCCCCCATTGCTGTCCTTCCCTCAGGGGCGGCCTAACCGACCCCTAGCAAGCCATCCCAGATCCGCGACTCGGAGGAAGAAAAAGGCACTCGTACCCTTGCCTCGTTCTCCCGTTCTGGAGCCTCTTGGGAGACCCTCGTCGCCACCACCGCCGGATTCGCCTCGAAGCTCTGGTCAGAACGCGCCCCGGGAGAGGAGAGGAGGGGGCGGGGGGGGGGGCGGAACGAGGGGCCACTGTCGGGAAGCGGGGAGGGGGGCACGGTCGCTCGGAACAAAGTGAGGAAAGCCACCTCCTCCATGAGGGAAGCGCCGCGCCGCACTCCAGGAACACCTGCCCGATCCTCTCCTCCTCCTCCTCCTCCTCCTCCTCCTCCTCCTCCTCCTCCTCCTCCTCCTCTTCCATGAGGGAAGCGGCCGCGCCCACTCCAGGAGCACCTGCCAGACCCTCCTCCTCTTCCTCCTCCTCCTCCTCCTCCTCCTTTCCTCCTCCTCCTCCTCCTCCTCCTCCTCCTCCTCCTCCTCCTCCTCCTCCTCCTCGGCCGGTCGGACTAAGGAAAGGGGTGCAGGGGGAAGCAGGTAAGGGGAGGGCGGCGAGAGGAGGCGAGCGGGGGGGGCCACGGTCGGGCAGCGGGGAAGAGCACGGCCGATCGGAACGAGGCGAAGGGGTGCCACAGTGGGGGAAATGCGGGGGCTGCGGTCGTCTGGATGGAAGGGGGGGGAGGCGCGCCGGGGAGGGGGGGGGGATGAAGGGCCAACGGTCGGGCACGGGGAGAGCGCGGTCGGGCGGGGATGAGGGGAGGAGCGGCGGGGAGACGGAGGGGGCACGGCCGTCGGAATGAGCGAGAGGGGGGGGGGGGTCGGGAGGGGGAGGGGGAGTCGCAGGGCCACGGTTCGTGCGGGGGGGTGGGGGGGCACGGTCTGGGGCGGAGGGGGAGCGGGATCCGGCGGTGGAAAGCAGGGGCGGGGGGGGGGGAGGGGCACGGTCGTGGGAACAAAAGGGAGGGCGCGGTGGGCGGAGCGAAAGGGGCGGGGGGGGGGGAGCGGGGGCCACCGTCGGACACGGGGAGGGCACGGCGTGTCGGCATCATGGAGATGGCACCGGGGAGTGCGGGCCACCAGGGGGACGGTAAATCGACGCGAAGATCGGGACAAAATCGGATCGGGATAACTCGAAATCTCTGAGAATCGGCGGGTTTGGAGGATGTATTGGGCGCCGCGGCCGCTCCAGAGCGTTCCGGAACGCTCTGAGAGCGCTCCGGAACGCTCTGGAGCGATTTATCCCGATCTTAGCCCTGTTTTAGGAGGGGGAGGCTCAGTTGAGGGCTGTCTGATCGCCATAATCAGCAATAGCACTGGGATCAGCACGTGCGAGAAGGGCGACCAGTTGCAGTGGGTTTGGCACTTCTCAGCAAGATCAAGGAGACGAAGCCGAGACTCGAAGTTCTCTCTTCTGTAACGCAGGAGCACTGCGTGCAGTGCTGGTGCATCGCAGGCGGAATCAAGCAAACCGTCTAGCACGCAAACGCGCAAGCACGCAAGCAGGCATGACATGTGTCACGCGAGAAGGCTAGCAACCACGCGAGTGGGGCAGCACGCAAGTAGAGCAGCACGCAAGCGATCTTCACATGTGCACGCGAGGATGCTGTCGAGGATTCACGTCCAAGAGTCAGCAAATCTGCTACGATGCCAGTATCAGCGCGTGCGCGCGTGCGGGAAGGGCGAGATGTTGGAGGCGAAGCTGGAGCCCAGCGTCATCGGCTACAACCCCAGCTTTTTGCCCCACTGATGCCCGATCGCCGGAGCAGTAACCTCTGCTCAGCCGCCGACGCAAAAGTGAAGGATGAGCGAGCAGTGGCAGCGGGCGCTGGCGCTGCTTAGCGAGATGTGCGATGCGAATGCTCAGTCCGAGATGTGCGAGACAACTGCTCAGCCCGACGTCATCTTTACTACATTGCAGATCCCCACGCGTGGGCGCTAGACCCGCGAACAGCGTGGGAGGGAGCCAGGAAAAATGGAGGGAGGGAGGAGGGAGGGAGGGAGCAGAGGGGACGGAGGAGGGGAGGGAGGGAGGAGGAGGGGAAGAAAAAGTATGATTGAGGGAAGAATGAGGAGGAGCAGAGGAGGAGGAGGAGGAGGCGGAGGAGGAGGAAAGGGGACGAGGATGAGGAGGAGGAGGAGGAGGAGGAGGAGGAGGAGGAGGAGGAGGAGGAGGAGCAGGAGCAGGAGCAGGAGCAGGAGGAGGAACAGGAGGAGGAACAGGGAGAAGGAGGAGGCCTCCTCCCTCAGCCCGCCCCTCCCCTGCAGGAGATGTGCTCGAGGCAGTCGTCGCCATCGTCCTGCCTCAGCGGCAGACACAGCTGCTGGTTCCACAGATCGCATGCCCGCCACCGGCCACCTGCACCTCGCTCTCGGGATGGGGGGGGTGGCCATTGGCAACCTAGGAGGGACCGGCTCAGAGGGGAGGCAAGGGGCGACTCTTCCTCCTCCTCCTCCTGCTTCTCCTCCTCCTCCTCCTGCTTCTCCTCCTCCTCCTCCTCCTGCTCCTCCTCCTCCTCCTCCTCCTCCTCCTCCTCCTCCTCCTCCTCCTCTCCCTCCTCCTCCTCCTCCTCTTCCTCCTCCTTTTCCTACTGTTGCTCCTCATCCTCCTCCTCCTTCTCCTCTGTACTCCACAGTTACACATTATGAATACTGGTCTCCTCTCACCGCTGACTCTGTCCAGACTATCGCCGGCTCTCTCCGCGTATTGCTGCTTCACACCAGATTGTAGCAGATTGTATTTCTTATGTTTCTTGTTTGTACGATGTGGTCGTTTCTGGCCGTTCAAAACTGTGTTCCCGCTGCAACGTTGGCCTCACTTTAGGATCGACGCTTTGCTTTCTTCGTTCAGAACGGCACTCTCGCCTCAGCGCGGGCCACGTTTCTGGATCCGAGTCCTTCCTCATCGTCGTCGCCCCCACCTTTTCCCTCCTCCGCCTTCCTCTGGTCCTCCTGCTCCTCCCGCTCCTTCACTCCAGTTCCCGCTGCTGCTATGCATCCTCGTACTCCTTCCTCCTCCTTCCTCCTCCTCCTCCTCCTTCCTCCTCCTCCTTCCTCCTCCTCCTTCCTCCTCCTCCTCCTCCTTTTCCTCGTGCTCCTCCTCCTCCTCCTCCTCCTCCTCCTCCTCCTCCTCCTTCTCCCCATCCTCCTATGTACGCAGCCCCCCTTGCGCATATCATGATGCGATCGTTTGGGGAGTTCCAGGTCCGCTGTGACAGGCGTCCGCGGATAGAGAAGACGTCAGCGCAATGGGAAGGAATGGGCGGGAGGGGTAGGACGTCAGATATGGCGTGATCGCACCTGGCTTGCCATCCCCCTCTCTCTCCCTTCACCCGGCGTGCAGGGCGTGTGCGAAGGTGCGCCTGAGGCCCTCGAGGCTGCGCCGATGCAATCCGGCCGAGGCCCCGGGTTTGCCGACTGTGCGAGGACGTGTCGATTGGGGGGAGGAGGAGGAGGAGGAGAGGGAGGAGGAGGAGGAGGAGCAGAAGGAGGAGGAGGAGGAGGAGGAGGAGGAGGAGGAGGAGGAGGAGGAGGAGGAGGAGGAGGAGGAGAATGATGATGATGAGGAGGAGGCAGAAGGCCCTGAGGGAAACGGGTCCTGCGATCAATTTCTTGGCCGTGCTCGGGTTCCTGGGGCCCTCCACGGGCCCCTGGACCGTCGAGAACGGCGCAGGCTGGAAGAGTGGCCCTGGGAAAGCCCTGGGGTCCAGGACTCGTTTCCCTGAGGCCCTCTTCTCCCTTCTGGCAGGGAGGAAGGGAAGAAGGAAGGAGGGGAGGATAGGAGGATGAGGAGGTATAGGAGGAGGAGGAGGAGGAGGAGGAGAGGAGGAGGAGGAGGGGGAGGAGGAGGAGAGGATGGGGAGGAGGAGGAGGAGGATGAGGGATGAGGAGGAGGAGGAGTAAAGGAGGAGGGAGGGGAGGGAGGGGAGGGGAGGGAGGGGGACAAGGGGGGGGAGGGGAGAGGGGGTAGGGGAAGGGAGAGGGGGGGGAGGGGAGAGGGGGAGGGAGGGGAGAGGGGAGGGGGGGAGGGAGGCGCGGAAGCAGGGGTGGGAGGAGTTCGGGCGAGAGGCGGGGCGAGGGGGAGACGAGAGGACGGGGGAGGGAGGAGAGGGGAGGCGACACGCGCCACCCTCTCTGAATGGTGTCAGGCGGGCTTCGGATGCGCGGAGGCTGATCGGGCGGTGCGGCGCCCCGCCCACGCACTGCCCGCCTGCGGCCGCGGCAGTGCGCGTGACTCGCGGAGGTGACCGTCGGATGTGCGCCTGGCCCGATCTGGATAGGGCGACCGTGGCTTGTCAGCTCTTCTCAGAATAGGTGCTCGACTACTCCAGATTTCGTAATAAAGGGAGGGGGTCTCATTTCGGGGGGGGGGGGTCTCTTCCAGGCTATCTTGGAGGGCCTGGGGGGGTCTGGGGACGATGTTTTAAAGGGTTCTCCCACGGGGCAGGTCCCAAATGGCTTGTCTTGGAGGGTCCAGACCCCCTCCTTTTTATTACGAAATCTGGAATACAGAATGGATTTACTCAATAATTTTTCCTGCCAGCTCTACGACAAGCACGTACAATGTTCAGTAGATCGAGTGAGCATTCTGCGTAATTGTTCCCAGGTTCTGCGGGAAACCATTGTGGGGCGGATCGTAGTCGATCCCCTACTCGATTTCTTTCGAGGGTCCCGATCTGGACGGGGCGCTCCAGCCGGCCCAAGCCGGCGGAGCCAGGCGGGAGAGAGCCGACGGAAGCTGGCGGGAGCTCGGAGGAAGGCGGCGGAAGGGACAGTGAGACGTCTATGCGCTTGGGCTCAGAGTTTACGAAGTCGGCCACATGAGGCGTTCCAGAAAGGGCCTCGCCTTCGAGGATCGAAGGAGTTGCCATCGCTTCCGCGGCGGAAGGCGGCGGAAGTAAAACGAGACCGCCTCCGCCGTCGGAAGCTTGCGGACGGGCGGCGGAAGGCGGCGGAAGTAAACGATGCGCCCCCAAGAGATGAAAACGTTATTGTGTTCAGGGTCTCCGAAATCCGCCACACGTTCGGCGCTGCTTGGCACGCGCAGGTTCAGGTTGGCGCTCAGAGCGTCAGGCTGGGCGCTGCACACGATCGCGTGTGCTGCCAAGATCGCCATGCAGCTGACAGCGCGGAGGATCGGCATCGAACGTGTCGCCGCGCCGTTCGCTCCGGCGCGCGGCCTTCCGTCTCCGGGAGGGTGCCGCGGCCACCGGAGCAGGCGCCGCTTCGGGCGCGGTGGGCTCGCCGTGGGTTTGCCGCGGCACCGGCTGCGTCTGCCGGGGCTGCGGGGCGCGGGGCCTGCCGTGGCGTCGGCGTCGTCCGACTGGGCGCGTCGAGGACGGACGGCGCAGAGACGGAAGGAGTTTAGGATGATCCTCCTTGCTGTCCATTCTTCGCTCTCTCTCCCTCTCTCTCTCTCTCTTCATTTCTCCCTCTCTCTCCCTTTCTCTCTCTCTCTCTCTCTTCATTTCTGGGGGGGGGGGGGGGTTCTGGGGGGGGGGGGACGAACAGTTGGCGGCGGGGGTGAAGGGAATAAGGTGGAGGGACAGGAGGTTTTCGACGGGGGGCGATGGGACTGGTTGAAGGGGGCGGGGAGGGGGAGGGGAGGATGTGGAGAGGAGGGGAGTGCAGGGGAGGGGATGGGGAGGGCAGGAAGAAGAGGCTCAAGCCTTCCCGCTCTCCCCCCCCCACCTGTCGCGCATCTTGCTTCTCACACAGGCATGCCCCGAGTCGGCCCGCGTTCTTGCTTTGTCCTCGGTCTTTCAGCACATATGTTCCCGCAGGAGGATCGGTGGTTGTTCCCCGTCGTTCAGAGTGGCGGTCTGGCCCCAGCGCGTGCCGCGTTTCCGGATGCGATTCGCTCCTTGCCCCCACCGCTCCTTCTTATCCTATATTTCCGCCCTCCGCCGGTCTTGCTCCTCCCCGTATTCCTGCTCCTGCTCCTGCTCCTGCTGCGGCTGATTCTTCTCCTCCTCCTCCTCCTCCTCCTCCTCCTTTCGTCGCCTACGCTCGTCTCCTCCTCGTCCTCCTCCTCCTCCTCCTCCTCCTTCTCCTCTTCCTCCTCCTTCTCATTTCCTCTCTCATCCTCCTCTACATCCTCATCATGAGCATGTTCTAGAACGTTGTTGCCATTCTGTCCTTCTGCGGTTCTCGTTCAGGCTGAATTCGTGGACGGCCCATGTCAGTCGCGGTGCAGGTCTCGCTCAGGGCGGCGACCTGGCTGGCAGACCGCGTGCTGGAGAGTGAGGTTCTCTCGGAGGCGGGATCCTGCACCATCGCGGCGCAGGTGTTCGGTGGAGTGAGGCTCGCTTTCGTCATCATGCTGCTGGTGGGTGTGTTCGTGGGGTATCTCATCAGTGCCAATGGCGGACGTCGCTGCCTGGGAGATCGGCGATCGCGTCGAGGTGCAGTGGCGTGCAGGAGGGAGCTGGCAGGCGCGTATCCATCGTGGGGACTGCCGCGACGGCCGAGTACGAGACAGTGCTGGGAGCCGCCCCCCCAGCAGGAGTGGAGGAGAGACGAGAGTGGTTCGACGTGCTCATGCCCGACGGAGGCATGTACCCTCACGCGCTGCACACGCCCGACGCGCTGCACACGCCCTCACGTTCGACATGCTCACGCCCGACGCAGTGCGAGTCCGCCTCGGGCGGAGGGACTGCGCGCCAGTGGCTGGCTCGGCCCCCGCGGCGAACGCACGGAGCTGACGGCGCCGCCTCGACGCCCGACTGGCGAGGGCTCCTCTGGAGGCAGTGGCGGCCGCATCGGCCCGAGCCTCCGCCGAGGCAGAGGCCATGCTGCGCCGACCGACGGGGCCCAGGGCAGCGGGCTTGAATTCGGATTGAGCCCCGAGTCCGCCTGAGTGGGAGCGTCACGACGCTTCCCGGCCCCGACGGCAAGGGCCGGTACACCTTGGCGGGCAGTGATCAGAGCAGCTCCGCGCGGATGCCACGCTTGTCGGTGGACGTCGGAATCATCGGTGCGGGCTTGGGTTTCTTGAAGATCGGCAGCGCGTCGCGCGTGATCCGACACGGCAGTCCCGACATGGCGCTCGACGCGCAGGTGTTGACGATTCATGAACATGCAGGAGATGGGCGACATCTGGGATTTCCGGATCTCGCGAGGGTGTAAAGCAGTTCACGGAGACGAAGACGCAAAGAGAATTTCGTATCTTGTTTTGTTGAGAGGGATGGTGGGCCTGCACTACGCAGCAGGCAGTATGCTAACCCCCAGCCTCCCCTGGCGATCCTGTCAAAAACCGATGAAAAGTGATCGCGGGGCGTCCGCGCATGATCCAGAGTTTGGTGCAAAGCGCACTTCGCGTGGCATTTTGCAAGGGATGGCTGGGGTGTCTGAGCACTGCGCACAGCAGGCAATATGCTGCCCCCCCCCGCCCCCCCTGTCAAAAGCCAAAGATGATCGCGGAGCGTCCGCGCATGATCCAGATTCTCGTGCAACGTGCATTTTGTCTGGCTGTTTACTGGATGGTGGGGGGAGGCGATTGTTTCCAGTTTGTCGCCAGTCGGGTGGGGGAAAGGGTGTATGTTACGAAATTAGCAGGAACAGTGATAAACATTCCCCCGAGCAGAGGAAGGAGCGGTTTTGGAAGAGGGAAGACAAGAATTCGTCATGCCACCTCCGCCCACAAGGCTGGTATGATTCAGCGGAATGGGAAGGGATGGATGGGACGGCATGGTGCGAGCGCAACTGGCTTGTCCTCCTCCCCTTTCCCCCCCTCCTCCCCTTCCTCCCCCTTCCCCTCCTCCTCCTCCTCCTCCTCCTCCTCCTCCTCCTCCTCAACCTCCTCCTCCTCCTCCTCATCCTCCTCCTCCTCCTCCTCCTCCTCCTCCTCCTCCTCCTCCCTCTCTTCCTCCTATCCTCCTCATCCTCCTCATAGTCCTCGCCCTTCTCCTCCTCCTCCTCCTCCTCCTCGTCCCGCTCCTCCTCCCCCTCCCCCTCCCCTCCTCCTCCTCCTTCCCCTCCTCCTTCCTCCTCCTCCTCCTCCTCCTCCTCCTCCTCCTCCTCCTCCTCCTCCTCCCTCATGCACCCATCGACGAGGCCCGCGCCCGCGGCCCGCAGGGCGAGGGCGTGCTGTCCAAGTGGCTCCGACCCTCGGAGCGGCGCAAGTACACCCTGGACTTCGACAGTCGCATACTGTACTACACCACCGCCGACGGGACGAGGCCCGCTCGAGTGCAGCGCCGAAGGGGGAAGGGTGCCGATGCGAACTGCTAGCGGGGCCTATCGCCGATCTACCGGAGATGTATCGCCGATGCTTCCCCCCCTGAGCTGGTCCCGCGCTAGCGTTCCCCTACAGAGGCGGAGGAGGACGTGTCGGGGCTAGCGGCCTCTGCCACAGAGCCGGAAGGCGACAGAGATTCGGGGGATGTGAAAGATGCAGATACCCCTGCCCCTGCCTCGTGTTTGTCTTTTGGGGCTTCTCGGGAGGCCCTCGTCGCCACGGCCAGATTCGCCTCGGAATCCTCGGCAGCGGTGTCGGTGCCTTGTTGTCGCAGCAAGGGTGAGCCAGGATGAAGATAAGTCGCACCAGAGTTTTCGGGACCGCTCTCAGAGCGTCCCAGGGCGCTCTGAAACGGCCGCGGCGCCCGATACATCCTCCAGCCCGCCAGCTCTCAGAGATCCCCGATTTTTCTTCATCCGACCACCTGAACTAGAGTGCTGGCGCTCGAGGAAACATCCATCTTAGAGGTTCGAACAGGGTTTTTGCGACCTTCGGCCTTTGAAGGCCAGCCTGTGATCGTTTGCTGATTCATTGTTTTGCCGATCTGCGCGGGCCCTCGCACGCCCCCTCCCCACCCTTGAGTAGATCTTGGCTGTCTTTGGTGCCTGTCTCGAGCCTGTGGAGCTTTCCCCATGGGGTGCACTGTTGCAAACGGTCGCGCTGAGCAGAGGTCTGGAGCCAGATACCCCCCCCCCTTTGGCCCCCCTCCGCCCAATGACGAAACGCCGAATAAGAAAACGTTCGCTCTCGGGCGCAACAGCTGGCCAGGATGAACCCCCGGCAGGGGCCGAAGGATGCGCGGGAGGAAGGGGAAGAGCCCCGGGCAGGCACCAGGCAGAGGAACCTGTCCTGCATGCGGGGTGCCCCCCGTCCGCCTCGGAGGGGGGTCGCGCCCGTCTGTCCGGCTGAGGTCAGGTCGGGGGTAATGGTCGAGAGGAGGAGGAGGAGCTCAAACATGAATCCTGAGAGTTCAATGCCGCGAATCAACGTGGCTGTTGCGTCCAGACAATCCTAAATCCTGCCAGAACCGAATTCCTTGGACGTCAACACCGCCTATCAACTTGATTGTTGCGCACTGGCAATTCCATTCTTGAATCGTGCTGGAGCACCATCATTGAAATTGCAACCATGCGAATCCTTAAAACTGCTACAAATTTAAAGACGGATGTGCGCAGCGCTAAAAGAGAGCAATTTTGTATCAACGATCCACCCGCCTTTCTCGAAGTTGTTGCAGACAGGTGAAACGAATGTCCTCGGCGCTGAAGCGAGAATTGCATTGAACCGTTCTCCATCCTCGAAGCTGCAGCAGCTTTAGAATATGTGCGCGGCGCTGAATCGGAGGCCACATTTTGGAAACGAGCCGCCCCCCATCCTTGAAACCGCTGCAACTTTTTAAGACACGCGCGCGCGGCGCTAAGGCGAGAGGCACATTTTGAAAACGAGTCGCCCTCCTGTTCAGTTTTAAGACGAATGCGCCCGGCGCTAAGGCGAGAGCCCCGTTTGACAAACGAGCCGCCATCCATCCTTGAAGCCGCTGCAGATGTTGAGGACGAATATGCACGGCGCTGGGGCGAGAGCCACATTTTGAAAACGAGTCGCCCTCCACCCGTGAAGCTGTTGCAACTCTCAAGTTTTTGGGGCCATCAATGATGAGAAAGTCTCAGGCGCAACGCTCGGCCTGCCCCATCGACACGTCTGGGGGGCGCGACAAGGAGGAGTTACTTCTAAGGACAAGGGGTGGAGGAGGAGGTCGCAGTGGCGGCAGCAAGCGTCAGGATCGCCACAGCCTTGGTATTGTGCCTTCATGTGCTGGCGTCACACGTTTGGTTGTGTGCTCGATCCCTTCCGGCGAGTGCCTGGCCCATGTTCCACGAGGCGGGGGCTCAGATGTAGGACATGCAGGGAGGGGGGGGTAGGAGGAGGAGAAGGAGAACGAGGAGGAGGAGGAGGCGGAGGAGGAGGAGGAGGAGAAAGAGCGGAAGAGCTCAGATGTGGGACATGCGCGGTGGAAAGAGTTCAACGCCAGCAGTTGCCAGGCGCCTCATCTCCTGGAGGGAACAGGCGGAAAGGGCGAGCGAAGGGCGAGCGGAGCGGAGGGGCGGGGGGCGGAGGAGCGGAGCGGGCTCCTCCTCATTCGTCGCCCCCCCCCTCCTCCCTTGCATATCCACCTGCCCTGGCTCCTCCCAGCTCTTCTCTCCTGCCTCATCCCTCCTTCCTCCTCGTTCCTTCGTCCTTCCTTCTGCCCCATCCGTGATTCCTCCTCTGTCTCTTGTCCTCCCTTCTCCCTCCATCGTCTCTCCTCGATCATCCTTACTTTCTCCTCGTTCCTCCTGCCTTCCTTCTGCCCCATCCAGCCTTCCTCATCTGTCCCTCCTCCCTCACCCCTCCATCGTCTCTCCTCAATCATCCTCCGTCCTCCGTACTTCTTCACCTCCACCCTCCACCTTCTGTCCCTTTTCCATCATATTCCTTCTCTCATTTCTCCCTACCCCCCCTCCCATTCCCCTCCCCCCCGCCAGCCCCTCCCCCCGTTCCCGTCTCACCTCGGTACCCCATCTCCCATTCACCTTCTTCCCCCTCCTCCGACGCTCTCGACACCTTGCGAGGCGCAGTGAAGCTCTGGATGTCTAGCACTTCTTGTGGATACGGATATCGCCAGTTCAAGGCTTCGTGTGCTGAAGATTTGTGTGTGCATCTGGATGTGCGAAGCACAGGGCCACTCCTCAGCCATCATATTGCTTCGCCTCCTCGTGTTATGCTGAGTGTCACTCTCCTGCGTCTCTCCTACCCCATGGCCCCACCTCTCATCGTTGGCAAACGGATTTGTCGTCTCTAACCGCCCGCGCTGCCACACCAGGAACGTGTCCCTGCCGACTTCGTTCTCGGACATCCTGGGTGCAAGCTTAGTTTCGGAGGACGCAGCTCTTCTCCATGCCCTGCTTCTTTGGGGTCGTAGAAGAGGGAGGAGGAGGAGGAGGAGGAGGAGGAGGAGGAGGAGGAGGAGGAGGAGGAGGAGGAGGAGGAGGAGGAGGAAGAGGAACTTAAGAATGGCACGGGATGTGGAAAGTAGTAGCAACGAAGGGAGATGAGGTCCTCCGCCCCCTTTCCTCCTTCTCTGCCCTGGGCTCTGTCCTCCCCCTCCTCCCCCTCCCGCTCGTATCCCCCTTCTCCTCGTCACCCCGTCTCCCCGTCTCTCCTCTCTCCCCCTTTTCGTTTCCTTGTCATCGTGCCCTCCCTTCCCCCCTTCTCCCTCCCTCTCCCTCCCTCCCTCTCCGTCCGTCCTGCTCGCCTACTCGTCATCCGTCCTATTCATCCGTCCCGCTCGTCCCCGTCCGTTCTACCCGTCCGTCCTGCTCGATCTGCCTCCCTCCTCCCCCTCTCATCTCTCCCCGTCCGTCCAGGAGGAAGAGGAGGAGGAGGAGGAGGAGGAGGAGGAGGAGGAGGAGGAGGGAGGAGGGAGGAGGGAGGAGGGAGGAGGGAGGAGGGAGGAGGGAGGAGGAGGAGGAGGAGGAGGAGGAGGAGGAGGAGGAGGAGGTGTAGGGGAGGGAGGGGGGCCAGGACGAGGATGAGGGGAGGGGAGGGAAGGAGGGATGATGGAAGCGAGGGACCTGAGGGAGTGAGTGAGTGAGGGAGGGAGGGAGGGAGAGAAAGAGGGCGGAGGAGGAGGAGGAGGAGGAAGGGAGGGAGGGAGGAAGGAAGGAAGGGACGATGAGGAGCTTCTCGTCCACTCTTCGTGCGGGCCAGACGCCGCCCCTGCGTCTGCTGGCGAGCGGGGGAGCGGATGCGGCGCAGGGACTTCCGGGCGCCGGGCAGCCAGCGGGAAGCAGGAGGAGCGGACGGAGGACGGGGGGGGGCAGGCGAAGAGGAGCAGTATGGGAGGGAGGGAGGGGAAGGGGAAGGGGGAGGGGGAGGTAAGATAAGACAAGGCCGATCGCGAAGCGAGCTCAACATTAATGAGGAGGATCTAGCCGCCTTCTCCGCCTTGCTGAGAACTTCGGGCATGAGACCTCTGGAGATTCGGTCGAGATATTCTCGCCGATTCTTGGTGATTGGGGCTTTGGGTGGGGCCTTGCACTCATCAGCCAGACTTCGGAGCTGGTGCTGATGGTAGGCCCCGCACGCCGCACAATAACATAAAGACAACAATTCATGATATAACATCTTGTGAGACTGGTGGGCCCACAATCCTGCGAGATGTAAACTTTCCCCCGAGGCACCCTTAAACTCCCCGAAGACTGAGACTCCAAACGAAAACCGGGTGACTCCAAACACTTATTTTTCGCTGCTACAGTCGTGGACCCTCGGCAAACCAGGCACTTTCTCCCGCAATCCAAGAGACGGTGAGCAGAATAAAAAAGGGCCACCGTGGCAGGAGTAGGAGGAGGGACCCTGGTGGGAGCATGCGCAGCGCGGGGGGCCTTCTTTTTCTCATCGTGGGCGGCGATTGTTGGTGTCATTGGTAATGATGACGGTGGTGATGATGATGATGGTGATGAAACTGGTGTTGATGTTGATGCTTATCATGCTTCTGCTGCCGGTGATGTTGACGATGTTTATGATGGTGACGCCGAATATGATGATGATGCTGATGATGATGGTGATGGTGATGGTAATGGTGATGCTGTCGATGAAGATGGTGATGATGCTGGTGATGATGATGATAATGAGAATGATGCTGATGATGATGGTGATGCAGATGTCGACGACGATGATGCTGGTGATGATGATGATGATGATGATGATGATGATGATGATGATGGTGAACATGATGTTGATGATGACGATGATGATGCTGATGATGCTGATGATGATGATGGAACTGTCGAACACGGGGACAATGCTGATGATGACAGTGCCGCTCATGCTGATGGTGATGCGGCCGCTGCTGCTGATGATGCTGTTGATGATTATAATGACGATGACGATAGCAAGAAGGATAAGGAGGAGACCTCTCCAGTGATCGACCCTGATCCTGAGCATCCGCGATCCGCAGTCCAGCCCCGATCGACAGACCAGGGCTTTCTTGAAATACAGTTCATCTTTTCCGGGAGCCTGCTGAGGAGGAGGAGGAGGAGGGGGGCAGAAGAGGGGGAGGGGGAGTACGAGGGGAAGGGGGATAAACAGCAGGAGGAGGCGCAAGCGCAGATGCCGACGGAAGAGGAAGAGGAGGAGGAGGAGGAGGAGGAGGAGGAGGGGGTGCAACGGGAACAGGTATTGGAGCACGAGGAGTAGGATCATATGGATGTTGTTGCTACTGATGCTGATGGTGCTGTTTATGACGAGGGGGAGGGGGAGGAGGACAGGGAGGAGGAGGGAGGAGGAGGAGGAGGAGGAGGAGGAAGGAGGAGGAGGAGGAGGGAGGAGGAGGAGGAGGAGGAGGGGAAGACGGATGAGGAGGGAGTAAGGTTCAGGAGGGGGAGGCGGAGAAGGAGCGCCCCCCTCATGTGCTCGCCCCTGCGCCAGGAGGCGCCGAAGAAGTCTGCATCGGGCTTCCGGAGGCGCCCACGGAAGGGGAACTAGGGCCTTCGGCGGAGACTTTGGGTTCGGGCAGAAAAAAGGGATGTTATTCCGTTTTTTCTTATTATATGTCTTCTCTTCGTTATTTTTATTCGTGATTATTATTCGTTTTTTGAGTTCGTATTATTTTTATTATGTAGTTATGTATTTCTTATTAGGAGGAGGAGGAGGAGGAGGAGGCTGGATTGATCCACGGCGTGATCCACGGCGTAATCTCGCCCGCAGCGTGGAGGAGGAGGACGACGAGGGGGGAGCGGGAGGAGGAGGAGGAGGAGGATGAGAGGAGGAGTAGGAGGAGGAGGAAGAGGAGGAGGAGGCGGAGGAGGAGGAGGAGGGGGAGGAGGAGGAGGAGAGAAGAGAAGAGGAGACGAGAGGAGAGGAGAGGAGAGGAGAGGAGAGAGAAGAGGAGAAGAGAGCCTGCGGAAGGGTGCCGGGGGAACAGGGTCAGACTGCAGTGCAGGGGACGCTTCGCGCTGCTGTCAGGGAGCTCTTCAGCCCAGCGTCAATGAGCAGCGCTGGTGCAATGCACTGGGATGGCGGGAGCGGCTGTCTCAAGGGGGGGGGGAGCGGGTTTTTCTACATGTTTCCTCTTCGGTGCTCGTGCTGTTTGGTTATGCTTAACTGTGCTGTAGTGCGGCAACACAAGACGATTGATGCCGTGGCAGCTTTTTCAGAAGGGACCCTTCTGGGACTGAGAACCCTTCTGTGGTGGCCTTCATACTGATTCCATTGGAGGCGAGTTCCGTATTGATCCCCCTTGCAGCGGATTACACATTGATTCCTAGTGTGGTGGATTACACATTGATTCCTTCTTTGGCGGTTTACAAACTGATTCCTTCTGCGGCGGATTATACACACATTCCTGTTGTGGCGGATTGCAAATGGATTTCTATTGAAGCGGATTGCAAAATCATTCCTTTTGTATCGGGTTGCACCAGGATTCCTTCGGTGGCAGGCTATAATTTGATTTCCTATGGTGGCCTTTCCGCCTTCTCCCTCGTTCCTCGTCAGAACTAATCATGATTACCGTGCCTCCTTATCATCCGGATCATCAGTTCCTCCATGCCTATCACCACTACCCACAATCACAAGCACCCACCATCAGCACCGTCATCACAATCCCCATCATCATCGTCCGTCTCCTCTTTCTCATTACCATGCCGCCCATTTGGTCCCACTACCCTCCGCAGTACTCCGCATGGTTGTTGCGTTCTCTTTTCATCGTGACCGTCATCACTACACCACCACATACATCATGATAACCATCATCACCGCCATCATCATCATCCTTGCCACCTCCTCCCCTCGCCCTCTTCAGATCCCATCCCTCCCATCTCCTCCATCCTCACTTTTCCGGAACTCGTCATGATTTTCCTGCCTCCCGTTCTTCCCCAAGCACGGCCATCCTCACAAACACTTGCACCACCGCCACCGCCACCACAATCAAAACCATCATCCTCTCCATCATCGTTATCATCACCACCGTCGTTATCCTCATCACAAGCAGCATCGCCATTCCCACCTTCCTCATCAAGATATGTGGCAACTTCATCACAATCAGCCTCACAAAGCTGCCCAACATCATCAATCTGGGCGTTGTAAATGCAATGATACCACACATTATGGGCATCGGCTATGCTTATACTGATCATGTGCACGGTGCGCTGAATTCTATATGCGCAGCCATTACATATCTTATTGTTATTACTGCTGCTGCTGCTGATGCTGCTACTACTACCACTGCTACCACTGCTACCACTACTACTACTACTACTACTGCTACTGCTACTGCTACTGCTACTACTACTACTACTACTACTACTACTACTACTGCTACTACTACTACTATCATTACTACTCTTATGACGACGACGACGACGACGACGACGACGACGACGACGACGACGACGACGACGACTACTACTACTACTACCACTGCTGCTGCTACTACTACTACTACTACGACTACTATTACTACTACTGCTACTCCTACTTCGACGACGACGACGACGACGACGACGACGACGACAACGACGACGACGACTACTACTACTACTGCTACTATTATCTCTACTACTATTACTACTACTACGACTACGACTACTCCTCCTCCTCCTCCTCCTCCTCCTCCTCCTCCTACTACTACTACTACTACTACTACTACTACTACTACTACTGCTACTACTGCTACGACTGCTACGACATCTACTACGATTACCGCCACCACCACCACTACCATCACCGCTACGAGTATTGCCAGCACTTGTACGACTGCTGCCGCTACGGCTATTACTACCACCGCTACCACTACTACTGCGTCTACTACCACCGCTACTGCCAATATGATTGGTGTTGCTACAATTGGTAATACGAAGACAACGATATAGAACAGGGGGCGGGCACTGCATTACAGCTCGTTGTGCAAACAGGCTGTGGGCGGTGCGCTGTGCCACGATACAATGTGATGCCATGTTGCCGCGAACGGAGCACAGCATGCGACACTCACTACTGGTCTACTGCGTGCTTCCCCCCGGTGATTCGTCCTCAGCTCTTAGGTGCTATCGATTCGGGTTCCCCCTTCCTCCTCCCCTGCCCTCTTCCCAAGGCGTTCCGCCTCCTCTTTATGGAGGAATTTCTCCTGTTGCGGAATGCACGCTGATGCGTTTCTAAAGAAAAGCTTGCATATGTTTTCCTTTCGCCGCGGTCTTGCATTGCATACGGAATCCCATTTGGCCGGGTTGCAACAGGATTATCTCCGTGTCGGGTTACATGAGGGATTCAAGTTGTGGTGGGTTGCAAATTCATTTCTTTCTGTGGAGGACCACGTGTTGATGCATTTTGTGGTGGAGAACAAATTCAGTTTTGTTGCGACGGGTTACACTTTGATCCCTGTAGTAGCAGATCATAAGCTGATCATTTTGTAGCGGAGAACCTACGCATTCTTTTTGCTGTGGATTACATGTTGGTCCCTCTTGTGGCGGATAAGAAATGGATTTCTGTTCTGACGAATTACAAAAGGGTCGCTTTTGTGTCGGATTACAGAAGGGATTCCGTCTGTGGCTGATTACATAATCATTTCCTTCGTGGAAGAGTACACAGTGCTGTGTTTTGTGGCGGGCAACCAGTGCATTCCTGTTGTGGCGGATTACACATTGATTTTTTCGTGGCAAATTGCAAGTTGATCTCGTTTGTGGCGGGTAACTAATCGAGTCCTTTTGAGGTGGGTTGCAGATTGATCCCGTTTTGTGGCGGGTTTTACATTGTGTCGGGTTACAACAAGGATCCCTTTTGCGGTGGATTACAATTATTATGTTAATTGGCGAGTTACACATTGACTCCTTTTGTGGCAGATCACAAACGGATTCTTTCTACGGTGGGTTACACATTGATTCCGTTTGCTGCGGAGAACAAATGGAGCCCCTCTTGTGGCGGATTGCAGGTTGATTCGCTGTTGTGGCGAACTACCGGCGGATTCTCTTCTTATGCCGGACTACAGATTAACGTCTTTCGCGGGGGGGGGTTCTTGGGTAACCAGAGGGGATACATGAACACACGAATAGTGAAAAGCAATGCAGCCAATGCTTTTGGTGTCGGATGCTGTGCAAACCTGAAAGAACACAGCGTTTTGAACATCCAGGGCTCCAGAACGCCGTGCTTAACATTATTTTGGGGGAGTAGTGCGCCTGCCCTGTTGGGTTACATGACTCACAGCGAGCTGCAACTTGGGCGAACCCGAGGCGCGCGCGAAACTCGCCGCTCGGCTGATATCTCGTCGCGCTGTCATGCGCGCCCGCGGGAGGCTTGATTGAAGTGGCCGTGCGCCAACCTGCAAGACAAATACTCATCCTCCTCACTTGGCCCTGAGCCCCCCCCTCCTAGTCTTTTTTTTCCTCCTCTTCCTCCTCCTCCTCCTCCTCTCCTCTCCTCTCCTCCCCTTCCTCCCCCTCCTCCTACTCCTCCCCCCCCCTTCTTCTTGGCCTCCTCTCTCCTCCTGCTTCTCCTCCTCGTCCTCCTCTCCTCCTCCTCCTCCGTTTTCCTCCTCCTCCCCTCCTCCTCCTCCTCCTCTCCTCCTCCTCCTCCTCCACCTCCCAATTCTCTGCCTCCTCCGCTTCCTCCTCCTCCGTTTCCTCCGCCTCCTCATCGTCATAATCCTCCTCCTTCCCTTGCTCCTGCTCATCCTTTTCTTCTTCCTCCTCCTCCTCGTGTTCCTCCTCCTCCTCCTCCTCCCCATCTCCCACCAGTCCCATCGCGGCCATCAACGGTGACGTCACCGCCTGTGATGCAGCTGCTTCAGTGGCTGCTGAGCCTGGAGGTGTCGAAGGGACAAGCGGTGAGGATCAAGCTGCTGGGGACGACGATGAGGGCATGGCTGAACCTCTCCGTCGAGGTTTTCGACGCGGCCGCTGATGCATTCTGCGAGGACGATGCGGAGAAGCGGAAGTGGCTGGAAGGGTTTCGAGCACAATGCCATGTTGCAGGTGAGAGTGCGGAGTAGAAAAGCGCGTCGTGGGTAGCAGTTGGAAGCTGGCCACGCTCAACACGAGCGCGTACCCCAACCTGGACAAGTACCTCACGGCACAGATCGACATACGTGATGTCGTGTTGCTCAAGAAGACCAGCCTCAGCAGGGCACGCACGACGGGTGCGGAATAGGAGTTTCGTCGTCGAGGGTGACGTGCCTCGGGGGCTGCAGCGCAGGCGTTACTGGCTGGGGGCCTGGCGTCTGGTGGTCTCCAGGCGTGGTCGAGGCTCGAGCAAGGTTCGGCGCCGATGCTCGGCTCGCAGGACCTTGTGCTTCGCCAAGGGCGATCACATCTGCTCCATCACGCGGGTTTGGCTCCCGGCGGGGTTATCGTGGTGAACGTGTACCTCGGAAGTGGCGCCGGGCTCAACGGCTTCAACATTGCGGCGCTCTATGACGTGGCGTGCAGGCTGAAGCAGCGCGGCAGGCCGTATGTGGTCGGTGGGTCGGTGGCGACGTCAACTGCGCCAAGGACTAGCTCATGAAGAGCGGGATCCTGCGGTACTTCGACGGGGAGTGCGTGGACACGGCTGAGCCGACCTGCGCGCAGTCCATGCGCGCCCTCGACCTGTTCATCGTGTCAAGGCCCTGCGCGTGCACGACGCGGAGGTGCTCAGCGGCCCGCCCGCGTGGCCGCACAGGCAAATGGTGTTCGAGCTGGAGACGACTCGCCAAAGGCTTCGCATCCGCGCGATGGACCTGCCGAAGAGCTTCGCGCTGGTCAGGCTTGCGGGGTGCGCGAGGCGGGCATGCGATGAGCAACGGGCCACTGTCGGTCAGAGAGTCCAGCACCTGCTGCGCGCTGCCCTTCGGCAAGGTGCGTCGACAGATCCAGAGGGTTGGCTTGCGGATGCTGCCCCTAATGGCGCTGCTCCCCCGAGCGGCGCGCCTCCTGGACCTGCGGCGCCCACGCCCTCCGCCGAAGGTGCGTGCAATCCTGGGGGGAGCGTGCGGCGGCGCACGCTCGCGTCGCGGCAAGGTGCGTCGATGGCTCCAGAGGGTGGGCTTACGGACGCAGCCCCTAACGGCGCCGCCCGCCCCGCGAGCGGCGCGCCTTCTGAAGCGACGGGGCCCGCGCCCCCCCGCCGCGGACAGATGCGGCCGGGCCCCCAACGCACGGTGGAAGGAGTGGCGGAGTGCAGATCGACATCCCCTCCGAGATGGCGGGCGTCTTCGGTCGAGGAGCCCTCGGGCGCGGGTCGGCCGCTCGCCGCCGCGGGGCCGCCGCCGCCCACGGTGCCAGAGCGGGGCCGGGCCAGGCAGGACCACCTGGACATGAGGCGCGACCTGCGGGGCCGGGCGGCCCAGTGGTTCGCGGGCGACTTGGCCCAAGTCTCCGACGGGGCCAGCTGACTGGAGCAGCGCGGGGACTTCTTGGGCGCCATGCTGCGCCAGGGAAGGGCCCCCGCTGCGGGCGACGCTGCAGAGCCGGCCCCCTGCGCGGCCGCTGACCTCGACGCTGGCGGACCTGCGCGCCGGCGCGTGGAGGCGGAGCGCGGGCCCGCGCGAGGCGTGCTTCACCAGGTGCTGCGAGGCCGCGCCTAAGGAGAGAAGGCGACTAGCTGGGCGGCGTCGACGGGGGCTGGATGAGATCTTCGGCGCGTTTCGGACGGCAGGTCGGGCCGACGTCTCCTTCGCGGCGGCGGGCGCCTCCGTCGAGCCCCCCCCCCCCTGGCCCGCAAGCTGTCGAGTCGGGGCCTCCTTGTGGCAGTCCTACTGCGCGAGCGGCTGGTTGCCCTAAGGGCGGGTCTCTGGCGGGGCCCGCGCCTCGCGGCGCCGCGGCTGCGACGGCCGCTGCGCGGCCGGGCGAAGGAGGGCCGCGACTCCATCCTCCTCTGCGCGGACAAGCTCTACGCGGTCACCCGCGCGGCCCAGGTGCTGGAGAGCTCGGGGAAGGCCTGGCCAGGCGAAGCCCGCGGCGTAGTGGAGTCGAGGGGCAAGGGTCGGGGCCGAGTCCGCGCCGGGCCGGGGCGAGCCTTTTCGAGCGCGACGCAGAGGAGGGCCGAGGAGGACGTCATCGCGCCAGAACACTAAGTCCCGAGGAAGCCCTCACGAGAGGGAACACCTCAGGCTCGCAGTCGCCGCGCAGAGCTGGACGGAGCCCCGAGGAAGCCACCGGAAAGGCGGGGCACTTCAGGCGCTCGGCAGGCAGAGCTGGTCAACGCCGCGGGAGTGGGCTACCAGAGGCAGGTCGGCGTCGACGAGGGGCCGCAGCGAGGAGTCAGGGCGATCCTCGACGAGAGCCGGGTGGACGCAGTCACTGGCCTGCACGGGGGCGCGGCGGAGAACGCCGACGCTTCCCGCCGCGACTGCAAGCGGGGCGGCACCCGCGACGGGCTTTTCTCCGTCGACGGCCTGGGCGACGAGGCGGCCAAGGCGCCCGCGGGCCCTCCGAGCGCCGCTGGCGCGAGGCTGGGAGAGCGAGCCACCGCTGGCGGGGCGGCGCGGGCGGGGCCTCGGCAGCCTGGAGGGGGGGCGCGTTGGTCAGGGCGGGGCGGGGCGCAGCTCTCCGAGCACTTCATAGCCCCGCCCCCAAGCCAGGGAAAGCCACGCGACCGCTCCACGCGGAGGAGCGGCGTCCAAGGGGCGTTCGACATGGGCCAGGGTTCAGGCGGTGAAGAGCAGCATGTGCTGGTCGGCAGTTGCACCGATGAGGCGTGGAAGCTGTTCCTCGGGCAGGCAGAGGACGAGTGGGCAGACGTCCACCAGGTCGGCGAGGACGAGCAGAAGCATCGAGGGCGAGGGCAGCAACCCGATCCGAGGTGGGTCTGCGAGCTTCCCGTCGCAGGCGCGCGCTTGCTGGATGGATCTGCGGAGGCGATGTGGTTGCGCAGGGCGTTGTGCGAGTTGCAGGTCGTCGCCCGCAAGCGAAGGGTGAGCCAGGGGTTGCGCCCCAGGACCTGCCCGTCGCGAGGTCGTGGTGGCAGCTTCTCACCAGCCAGGACATCCACCGTCTGGGCCCTTCCGCCGCGGTTCGGCAGCTGCGCGAGCGCGCCCGCGCCGGCGCCGCGAGGCTGGCGGGGCGTGACATGGCCGAGCGGAAGGTCAGGTTCCAGCAGTGGGTTGCCAAGCAAGTTGAAGAAGGTGAAGGCGGGGCCCACGCCGCGACGAAGCTGCCCATCGGCTTCGCGGAGAGCCCCATGCAGGTCTACAGCGATGTGGAGTCCCAGAAGCAGTCTTACGAGCCTGTCGAATTCGGCGCCGAGGTCACTGCGTTGGAGGTAGAATGGGGCCGCTGGTGGACCTCTTGCGAGCAGGTGAGGGCCCAGTGACCCTTGGACCTTGGCGTGCGGCCGCCAAGACCGACGGCGCAGCAGCTTCGCGAGGTGCTGGTGCTCCCCGCCGGCTCGGGGGTGCCGCTCTGCGCTGCGCGGCCCGGGCAGCTCAGCGATCTCTGCAACAGCGGCGCCGAGGTGCTGGCGGACGTCGTCGATGCCATCGAGCTGCCCGCCGCGTGGCTCGAGATGGTCACGAGGGTCTGCTTCGCCCAGAAGAGGCTCGGCGGCGTCGGGCCCGTTGCCCTCGCCATGGTGCTTGCGAGGGTGCAGGCTCGTCTTCGACGGGATCTCGCGCGCGGCTGGGAGGCCTAGAACGACCGCAGCCATTGGCGGGCCTCGGCGGGGCGCAGCTGCGAGAGGGCGGCCTGGCATCGGCCTGTCGTCGGCGAGGGGGCCACTCAGCGCGGCAAGGGCTGCGATGATGATAGCAGCTGGGTCGCGGTGGCCGCGCTGCTCGACCTGCTGGAGGTGTTCGAGCAGGCGGGGCGCCGCTGGTTGCTGGAGGCCGCCTGGCGCGCGGCCCCCCCGCTGTGGCAGCTCAAGCAGCAGGTGGAGCTGCGCGCGCCCCGCGCGCTGGCCCTCGACAGCGCGCGCTCCGACGCCATCGAGGCCCGCCAGGCGGTCCTGCCCGGAGACGGCTTCGCCACGACGATGCTCAAGCCGATGCAGATCGGGGCGCTGGACAAGTTGCTGGAGCAGCATCGCACGCTGCCGCTCGCCGCGGTCGTGGACAACCTCATGCCCCACGGGTTTGGCGGCGCTGTGAGGGTCGCGAGGGAGGTTGCAGACGCTGCGTTCAAGCTTAAGGCGCCCCAGAAGGAGGTCGACCCCAACGCGGCAGTGTCTAAGTCCCGCGCGCTGTCCAATGTGCCTGACGCGAGGCGCGCTGTTGCTGCGAAGCGGCGGCGGCCGCTCGGCATGTTGCAGATAGAGAGAGAGAGAGAGAGAGAGAGAGAGAGAGAGAGAGAAAAAAAAAAAAAACACAAAAAGAGAGAGAGAGAGAGAGAGAGAGAGAGAGAGAGAGAGAGAGAAAAAAAAAAATAAAGAGAGAGAGAGAGAGAGAGAGAGATAATGGTGCAGGCTGGCCTGCGGCTACGTCGGGCGACCTGGCTGAAGACGGTCAAGGGTAAGAAGCAGGCGGTGCGCAAGGTGGCGCGCAGCGGGCCAGAAGCTTCGGCCGGCCACGGGTTCGCGTTTCCGGGCTGCGCCGCCGCCGAGGTGGTCAAGTTGCGGACCAAGGTCTCCGCCGCAGTGGCGCCCAGTGTGGCGGGAAGATCTCGGCCCCTCACCCTGATGCTCACGCCCTACCTGGGCCCGATCGACCGCGCGACGCTGTTCCCTGTCCTGGCGATGATGCGCGCGGTCTGGGAGTGCCGGGTACCTCAGCAAGTCATCGCGCATGGCCTGGGGAAGCGCGCGGCCGCGGGCCGGGGCGACGCACTGTGATGAGCGCATCGCCGTCTCCGAGACCTCGCCCTTGGTGGCAAGAGGCTGCAGTGGATGGCGGTGGAGGCCTGGCAGTGGCAGCGGGTCGGGCAGCGACCTGGACTACGGCATCTCGCGGGTGGTGGCGTTCTGGAACCGCTGGTCAGGCTCGCGAACTCGGGCATCGCGAAGCGCAAGGGTGTCTTCGGCCACCAGGTGAGCTTCGACGACAGCGGGCCTGCTGATGAGGCTGCAGGCGGCCAGAGCCAGAGTGCGCAGCCAGCGCGCAGCGCGCCGCGGCAAGGTGCGCCGACGGAACCTGAGGGTGGGCTTGCGGATGCTGCCCCTAATGGCGCTGCTCCCCCGAGTGGAGCGCCTTCAGGACCTACGTGGCCCACGCCCTCTGCTTCTGGCGCGCGCAGCCAGGCCCCTGCCCTGAGGCGCGGCACCGGGGAGGAGGCCCCACATCCAGAGTCTGCTGCCTTAGCAGGCCCAGCGCGTCGCGCGGCTAAGTCGATCCGACTCGCGCCCATGGTTCGCTGCTACCTGGCCTCCGTCGTCGCTGATGGCAAGTGGGCGCAGGCGAGGAAGTTCGACGTCGGCTACGCGCAGGATGACAAGTGCTTACTGCGCGGCGCAGTTGGCACGCTTTTTCGCAGGCACGTGAGCTGTGGAGGGCGGCCGCCCGAGCTGCAGCTGCCTAGCAAGATGCGTGAGCTCGCGAACAGGGTTGGCCTCAGCGAGGCACGGTGCTTGCTGGAGCGCGTGCTGTGGCCGGCGCCCAGCGGCATCGCCGAGCCCCCGCGGCCCTTTGGGCTAAGCTGGCTCGGGCAGGCTGGCGATGGCGCGCTTCCCTCTGGCGACGTGTACCTGGGCGGCTCGGCGCGCGCGGGCGACTTCAGCAGTGCGCCAGCGCGGGCTTGGCGGCGGTTGCGCTGCAGGAGAACGCCGACGTGGCCCACGCGGGTGTCTCGGGTGTGTTGCGTGAGCCTTTCGCGGACATCAGCGGCGGTCCGAGCTGGCGGCGCTGCTGGCCGGGT